CGTTGTAGATGGGATCGCATTTTCCCAACGCCACTCTGAATCTGGGCAAAGACAAGAGGAGCACGTCACCCACGAAACTCAAAATGGTCAGCGGGCGGCATGGGTAATCAATGACGAAGCCGAAGAACTGACCACTTCTCCGCTCGTTCAAAGACCCCCACTTCCTCTTCAAAGTCCAGAAACACCTCTCCATGATAATAATTAAACGGAGGGCGCTGGTCGGGTTTCCTTGCTTCGCGCCTCTCTCCAAGAAGAAATGCCTGGACTCCCCCCCTGCGATTGCCGCGGCAGCCCGGTCGCTATGCAGCTTGCGCGACGAAGCGATGCATCCCTCGTCGACACCGACCTCATGCGATAATTACCTCCCACAACGCCACGCGTTCGACTGCATTGAAGGCTTCTCCGAAACCGACAAGCGCAAGCCATAGCTTTCGCCGCCACTCGTCACAAGCCCCCACAACGAGAGTGAGAGCCAACAAACGGTTCTCGGTGGAAACGACGGAACGACGCGCAGCCTGATCAGGGGGTCGGTGCTACACGATCATTGACCCCAGTCGGTTGCACAGCACGCGGGCGAAGAGCTTGCATAGGGCCGAAAGACTTGCGATGGGGCAGCAAATATTCGGCATCTCTGCCCCGCCCCCCCCCTTGAAAATAACAATTATTCACTGCGTGGAGCTCCACATACGTGCATCTACTCGCATGGACCTGTCCGCCGCGAATGTCTAGGCGCAAGAGCTTTCGAATATTAACGGGCTTCAGTTGTGACGGTCTGGACATCAATCTAACTGCGAATGAATTGGAGTGTGAATGAGCCTCAGTAGTACGAGCGCGTCTCTGTGCATGAGCCTGGGGCCTCCTGGGGCCTCCTGAAACCTACTGGGGCTTCCTGGGGTCTCCAGGAGCCTCTTGGGACCTCCTGGGACCTCCTAGGAAGGTTTCGTGCCCCAGGGGAGGCGCAATCTATAGCAACAGACGTACATAAAACATTGCGGATTAGAGCCACAGGAGAAGGGCAATCTATAGGAACACGCGTAAAACACCAAGGACTCGTGCCCCAGGAGAGGCCCAATACATAGGAACATGAGTAAAACATTTAGGATTGTGTACACAGGAGAAAGGACCATCTATAGAAACATACGTAGAACATCAAAGAATCGTGCTCCAGGTGAGGCCCAATCGATAGGAGCATACGTAAAACACATGGGATTGGAGCCACTCCTGTTGCCTTCTGAGGCCTCCTGCTCCTGGGGCCTCTCGGGGCCTCCTGTTGCCTTCCGAGGCCTCCTGGCGCTTCCTGTTGTCTCCTGGGGTCTCCTGTGGTTTCCTGAAGCCTTCTGGAGCTTCCTGGGGCCTCCTGGAGCCTCTTGGGACATCCTGTGGCCTCTTGAATCTTTCTGTGGCCTCCTGATGCCTCCTGGGACCTCATGTGGTCTCCTGGAGCCTCCTGGAGCCTGTTGGAGCCTCCTGTGGCATCCTGAGAAGAATCTGCGCCCACGAGCCTGGCCACCAAAACTAACAAACCGATCGAGACATCCTCAAAATCTGGCCCACCTGGGGGGTGAAAATGAGCGCCTCGCTCGAGACATCCTCCAAATCTGCTCCGAAAGCGAAGGATGTTGGGCACAGAAACAGGCAAACCGCCTGAGACATCCCCACAAAATGGCCGCGAACGAGCCCGTGCAACCACCCCTGGCGGCTCCCCTTAGGGGTGCTGAAATGAGCGCCTCGCTCGAGACATCCTCCAAATCTGCTCCGAAAGCGAAGGATGTTGGGCACAGAAACAGGCAAACCGCCTGAGACATCCCCACAAAATGGCCGCGAACGAGCCCGTGCAACCACCCCTGGCGGCTCCCCTTAGGGGTGCTGAAATGAGCGCCTCGCTCGAGACATCCTCCAAATCTGCTCCGAAAGCGAAGGATGTTGGGCACAGAAACAAGCAAACCGCCTGAGACATCCCCACAAAATGGCCGCGAACGAGCCCGTGCAACCACCCCTGGCGGCTCCCCTTAGGGGTGCTGAAATGAGCGCCTCGCTCGAGACATCCTCCAAATCTGCTCCGAAAGCGAAGGATGTTGGGCACAGAAACAGGCAAACCGCCTGAGACATCCCCACAAAATGGCCGCGAACGAGCCCGTGCAACCACCCCTGGCGGCTCCCCTTAGGGGTGCTGAAATGAGCGCCTCGCTCGAGACATCCTCCAAATCTGCTCCGAAAGCGAAGGATGTTGGGCACAGAAACAGGCAAACCGCCTGAGACATCCCCACAAAATGGTCGCGAACGAGCCCGTGCAACCACCCCTGGCGGCTCCCCTTAGGGGTGCTGAGTATGAGTAAGTTTGTGTATGAGTAAGTCTGTGTATGTGTACGTCTGGGTATGACTAACACTCTGTATGAGTAAGTCTGCGTATGAGTAAGTCTGTATATGAGTATGTCTGAGTGTGAGTAAGTCTGAGTATGAGTAGGTCTGAGTATGAGTAAGTCTGAGTATGAGTAAGTCT